TATACCACTATATTTTATACATTGGTATAATATATATATAAAAATGAAACACCACTATACACTATATATATTTTTGGGGTTACCTCTCTCTCTCTCTCTCTCTCAAAAAATATATATAGTATATAGTGTTTCATTTTAATCAGGGAAAAATGTGGATTTTTTTTGTGGGGGGGTTTAATTAAAAAATTGTTGGGTTTTTTTTTATCATAGGATTAGGATCCCTGTTAATAAGAGGCTTATCTGACTTCGGTTTCCATTACTTTGGTGATTTTAAATTTTTGTTGCCCAAATCCTAGAAGTCGTATACATGCAGTGCAAGCTTTGCCTTCTTTAAGGCCATCAGGGTTTAATTGTTTTCCAGTTAATTATTTTCCAAAAGTTAATTGCTTTGAAATCTCACAAGTGGACTGAGTGCCATTACATTTCCTCTCTAACTGTAAATATGAACTGTGTTTTTTATTTACAGGAAGAGATATCCACTGAGTATTATAGTCAGTGTATTTGCCATCATTCTTGGGGCCTTCATAGCAGCTGGGTAAGTCTTTTATTTGTTCTCAATAAATGTCTTCAGTGTTTTATCTGCACTGCTTTTTTTTTTTAACTAAGTACCAAATCTGAGTAAAAATCCTATTAGTGAAATTACCTCAGATAGTACATCTGCTGAAGTCAATGGCAGCCACGAAATAGAAATCCAAAGTCTAGTCCTAATGGAATAATATTTTGCAATGCTAGGTTTGAGATATACCCAAGGATATAAAGAACATAGCAAGCTAAGCATATGTTATGACAGCAGGTTTTCTATACTATAACACTGAATACAACAATGTCATAGGAAAAAATACTTGAGTCCTTGTTAGAGTGGGTGACATTTCACACTAACTGTATGCATAACATTATTAAGTGGCCACAATTCATATACATTTGGACAAGTTCAAATAGATTAGTATTTTGGGGTTCATCTATTCTACTATTTCCTCTACTTTTCCTGTACTTTTCCTGCTTCTTTTTGGGAAGTTGCAATTCCGTAATGTAAGTCCTAAGTTTTAGTTTGTTATATTCAAAATATGAATGAGTTATAATTAGATTAGTATTTTCCATCTGGCATGACCTTAGTGCATCCACAGTTGTATGAAATAATTTATCTAATGTGACAAACAAAATAGAAGAAACGCTGATTTTACTTATAACAATAGTTTTTTGGTTATTACCTGTTAGAAATAGTTTAGCAATTATGGGACAGGTTGTTAGCACTGAAATTCTATACAGTTCTTTTCTTTTTTCTTTTTTTGATGCCATTTCCC